GCCACTGCACTCCAGTCTGGGCGACAGAATGAGACTCCAACTCAAAAAAAAAAAAAAGAACAAAATCATGCATCTTCACACAGATGCAGCTGGAGACCATCATCCTAAGCGAACTATCACAGAAACAAAAAAACTGAATACTGCATGATCTCACATAAGCAGGCCCTGATCCCCGGTCACACGAGCACAAAGATGGGAACCACAGATACTGAACATTGCTGAAGGGGGGAGGGAGGGAGAAGGAAGAAGGGGCACACAGCAATATACTAGACACCAGGTCCACTATCAGGGGGAGAGAGAGACCGCTGGAAGCCCAAACCTCACCTGCACGCAATTTACTCATGCAGCAACTCCTCACCTGTACCCCACAACTCTAAAATTAAACAAAAACATCTGTGGGCTTTCAAAAATTCAGCAGTCAGATAATTCCAAGAACACACCGACTCTCATTGAGATGTTCCATTTCATCACAGGAGGCTCTGTGATTCCAGAGACAGCGTCGCCAGAGAGTTCTTTTCCATTACCGACCTGTGGAAAAAGTGTAACAATACCAGAAACCCCCTGAAGAACACCCCAGGAGGACGGCCAGCCCGCTGCAGTCAGACGGGGAAGTCACAGGCCACATGGCCACAGGCTGACCCAAGGACCTCACATAAGGGGCATAGCACGGGATGGAGGAGTGGGGCTGGTTTTTTCTCACTGGCCACTCTAGGTTTTGTGGGTTCTTCTACATTTTAAGAAGTAAAAGGGGGGACTGTCTCATTGCAGGACTAGCCACGTCTGTGGACAGGATATCCAGAGCGGCTTCCATCGGAGACCTCTGGCCGGCGTGGCCAACTCAAGACCAGCTGTGTTGAGGGACACTCAGTGGCAGAGCCAGCGTGCCCTGTGGTATTTTCAACCACATAAGCAGCAATGAGTGGCGAGGGCAGAGAGGGGATAGAGCTCCCCAGCGGCGGGGCAGAGGGGATACGACTAGAGCCTGCTGGAATCCATCTGTCGCCTGGAGAAACAGGACACTCCAGGGTGTCCTAGGTTCAAGCAGCACCCTCTCTCTACTTTCCTCCCTAAGGTCCAAGCCATCCAGAAAAAGGAAGCTTTTGGTGGTCTCCCTGCAACCTCCGACTAAGAGGTTGCCACTTTCAGAGGCTGACATCACGCATTCAGGGTTCTGCCCTCTCTCTTTTCCCCTTTTTTCCTTTCCTCTTGAGTGTCCCGTGGCAGCTACCACAGAAGGACGGAAGTCCCTGAACTGGCCTGGTTCTAGCAAGGTGTCTGCTTTGTGTCTCTCCCAGGCGCTAGCTCCATGACTGTGGAATGAAACTGAAAAAGAAAAGGTCCTCTCTGTTGCATGGATGCCCGGCCTCCCAGAGCTGATCATCAGCTTCAGGCAGTTATATGTTCACAGTCTAGGCCATAAACAAGGAAGACAGACCCCAGGCTGCATAAAAATGCCAAAATAGGGAAGCTCAGAGGTAACTACACAACCTAGCTTTAAAGTAATGGAGATGAATGAACTTGTTGAAGAAAAGAGTGACAAAATACAGCTTTCAATGAGTTGGAAAGCAGGCATGTCTCTAAATAGGATTTCTCATCTAAACCTAAATAGATTTGAGTCCGTTTTCTATCACGCAGACGGTTGAACCTGGTTCAAGTGAGATATTCTTCAAAACTGACCAGGAAAAGTCAAGTCGGCCACACAATAAATCACAAGTCATCTTAAACGACCGCGTTTCCAAGTTTCAGTAGTAAAACGGATTAAAACCAAACCGAGTCATCAACTCACTTCAATGAGTTCTCTATTCTGTAACCTGAGTCTTGGCTGTGGACCCAAACACCGTGGGCCAGAAAAATCCCGAATACCTGGATGCAAAATCGCAGTTTCCCAGACAGGAATCAAGCCACATGCCTGTTTCTTTCTCCAACTCGGAAGGCAATGCTACTGAAAATAACAGGTTCTTTAAAAACCAGTAAAGACACAGATGGTTATTCACAGGGACAGACAGAATATCTCCTTCGACAGTGTCAGAGGGAAACCAAAGTCAAAATAAAAAGTTGTTGGTGGCTTACAAAACACACACACACACACACACACACACACACACACACACACACACACACACACAACGTTCTCAAGTTACTTACTGGGGTGGTTTTGTCGTGGTATTTGCTAATTTTCACATCAGCACTCCCCTGTCCAGCTGCCAAGTGCCAGAGCACGACGGGAACAGCTGTTTCCTTCAGGCCGGGCTCTGTGTCTTAGCGGGTCACATGCACCTCCTGATAAACACCACCGCCACCCGCCGTGCCAGGAGGCCAGAAACTGGAGGATCATTCTTTTCCTCACTGCAAACCCCCTGGCAACCCCTGAGCTGGCCCAGCCATTTCACGAGCACGCAGGGCAGGACATTCCACAACGTGTTTGCTCCTGGGAACAAACACCCGGACAACTGATAAGTCACCCTGGAGGACAAGTCACGGCAAGTGGAAAGTGACCCGTGTCTGGGGGTGGGGCAGGGGGTGGGGACACTGGCAGGCTCCACGCTGGCTCTCCCCACTCAGGTTTTCACTGGGGCTCTCGAGCAAGCCAGAAGAGGCAACCGCAGCAGGTGGGGCCTCCTCTGAGTCCCACCTGCCAACCATGAGCATCTGCTGCTGTCATTTGCCCAGAATCCCAGGCTCCGATGTGGTGGGCTGTCCCAAGGGGAAGGCAGACCCTCACCGGCCATCTGAGATGCTCAGGCTGGATTTCAGAGGGGCCGAGGGCAGGACTCTTCATGGCAGCCTTATCTGGAGAGCTAGTGCAAATGATTTCAGTGAGTCTGAGACCAAGCTTCTGCGTGGCTATCTGCGGGCTTGTGTCAACATCTGGGGCACAGCAGGACCGTGGAGGTTATCAGCGGGTGGAAACAGATGCAATCACCACGTTTACAAATGCACTTTCCAGACACGCTGCTGCCCCCTTTGGGGTGCTGGGATGTTGAGCCAACCCTCTGTTTTCTGTGTTGCTGTGTCACAGGGGTGGCAAGCCATCCTGCTGTTTTGCTGGATTCCTGTGTCTCACCTGAGTGAATGTTCCCACCCTCCCCTTTTCACCCTCCTCTCCAAGGAAAGCTCTGGGCGTGTCTAACTTTGGACAGTGTCTGACCTCGGGTATCTGGCCTCTTGGTCTAGTAAGGGGGAATGTTTCCCTTCGGGTAGAGATGCAACATAAGTCAGCCCATTTGACAAAGTGAACATCCAAAAAAAGATAGCTAAAATCCCCCAGGGGATTTCTGAACCGTAATGAGCCTGTTAAACTGTCTACCTTGATTTTCAATACGTGAGATCTTACTCAATACAGAAGCCTGGATGAATAGTCTTTTTTTTTTTTTTTTTTGAGTTGGAGTCTCACTCCTTGGCCCAGACTGGAGTGCAGTGGCATGCACACTCACGGTCACCCCAGCGTTGACCTGCTGGGCTCCAGCGATCCTTCCACCTCAGCCTTCTGAGTAGCCAGAATTACAGATGCGCTCTACCACACCCGACTATTTTTTATTTTATTGTAGAGACGAGGTCTCGCCAAGTTGCCTGAGCTGGTCTTGAACCCGCGGACTCAGGCAATCCACTCACCTCAGCCTCTCAAAGTGCTGGGATGACAGGCTGAGCCACCAAGCCCGGTCATGAATAATCTTTTATAGTTAGGGTTTGTTTCATAATTATTTACAGTGTTAATCAAACCAGAAGTGTCCCCCTGTACCCAGGAGAGAGTGTTTTCCAGAATAACAGAAAAAGACAAAAACTCTTCCGTCTCACCATACTGGCAGCAGAGTCACTGTAACCAATTGACTTGTGAGAACCCAAGGAGCGAATGGAAAAATTTTGCAAGCATCAACACATGCCTCTTTTGGCTGGGTACAGTGGCTGATGCCTGTAATCCCAGCACTTTGGGAGGCCAAGGTGGGAGGATTGCTTGAGCTCAGGAGTTTGCGACCAGCCTAGGCAACATAACAAGACCTCACCTTTACAAAAAATCAAGAATTATGGGGGCATGATAGCACATGCCTGTAATCTCAGCTACTGGGAAGGCTGAAGCAGAGGGATCACCTGAGCCCAGGAGGTCAATGCTGTGGTAAGCCATGATCGTGCCGCTGGGTGACACTAGCCTGGGTGACAGAGAACCCACTAAAAAAATTTAAAAATCTCAGCCGGGTAATAAAGTGGCTCACACCTGTAATCCCAGTTCGTTGGGAGACTGAGGCAAGAGAATTGTCTGAGCCCAGGAGTCTGACACCAGTCTGGGCAACATAGTGAGACCTTGTCTCTACAATAAATAAATTTTTTTTAAAAATTAGCCAGGCATGTTGGCATTCTGTAGTCCCAGCTACACAGAAGGCTGAGGCAGAAGGATTGCTTGAGCCCTGCAGGTCTAGACAGCAGTAGCCGTGATTGTGCCACTGCACTCCAGCCTGGGCAACAGTGAGATTCCAACTCCAAAAAAACCCCTCTAAGCATGTATAGTTAGTAATAGCAAATAACTTCAGATCTCAAAATGCAATGCACTGATACATGTCACCTTCACATGCACGTTTCCTGTTGATGTGACAATCCTCAATCAGAAATAGAAAAGGAGACCCCACCCATGGAGGATTTGAAACATTATTTTACATAAACACTATATGTACGGTAACATGAACTTTTGTGACTTGATGGCATCCATTCATCACTTTATTTATAATTGACTGGGTTATTCTGACAATCCACTGCATACCACCTAGTGAAAGAAAGAGAGACTTCTTAAAACTCTTCAACAACCAACAGACAACAGCCTCAGAAAGAGATTATTTTTTACTTAGAGATTATTTTCCATTTCTTTGGGTAGGGAACGAACAGATGGCTCCAGAATCACCCCTATCAAGCAAACTGTCAACACCGAGTCCGAGACCCTGAGCCCTTTTAGTCAGCGTCCAAGAGTGTAACCGCAGCCTTGCAGAGAAATGAGGAGACACCACCTTTCTGCCCACTGCCTGCAGGTACCAATCATGGCTTCAGCTCAGGAAAAAGTGCCTCTTTCTGTCAGCGGCGCCTTCACTCTTGGGCTTGTGCCTCACCCTGCGTCTCCCACCTGTTCAGGACCCTCTCGACAGCACCCATGCCATCTCCTCCTCTTATCTCCCCCTCTCGTTACGGTAGTCCTCTAGCTATGAATGAGTTCCATTCTGAGGGCACATCCGTAAATCCAATCTGTTCGCAAGTCCAACAAAGTTAGTCCAAGTCCCCAGCTAACACAATCGGCTGTACTGTACCAGCCACATCTCGACTGCTTTTACGCTTGTTTCTGGACATCCTGGGCTTGAAATAAAGATGCTGTTATCACTGTGCTTGATCCAATCCTGTCCAGTAAAGTCCACGAAAGCAAAAACACTTGTAGAGGATGCACGCACGTGACAGTGTACACCAGACGTGTGAACTAACTTCTGTGATTGAACCTGCGAACACACGTTTGCATCTTTGAAAATTCGCAACTTGAAAGTTCATATTTATGGAGTCTTACTGTATCTAAACATAGCTCTCGTGTCTTTTTAGTCTGACAAACACTCTTTTTTTTTTTTGAGTTGGAGTCTCACTCCGTTACCCAGACTGGAGTGCCGTGGCACGCTCCCAGCCACCATAGCCTTGATCTGCTGTGCTCTCGGGATCCTTCTGCCTCAGCCTTCCAAGTAGTCAGAACTACAGGTGCACGCTACCACGCCCAGCTAACTTTTGATTTATTGCAGAGACAAGGTCTCACCAAGTTGACTGGGTGGGTCTTGAACCCGCGGACTCAGGCAGTCCACTTGCCTCAGCCTCCCAAAGTGCTGGGATTACAGGCTAAGCCACCAAGCCCGGCCTATTTATACATATATATTTTTAATTTTAGAGTTGTGGGATCCATGGGAGGATTTACTACATAGGTAAATTGCATCCACTTGAGGCCTAGCTTCTAGCGGGCCCTCTCTTGCCCTGATAGTGGACCTGGTATGAAGTGTGTTGCCCTGTGCTCCCTGCTTCCTACCTCCTCCCTCCCCCACAGTGTCCAGGGCAATGGATGCTTGTTTTGCTTGTATCTTACTTGACCTTTCGGCTACATTCGACACAACTTGCCAAGAGCTCCTTGAAGCGTTCTCCCACGGCCTCTGTAAAATTGGACTCCTCCCTCCTTCTGCCTCCCATCTGGCTTTCTCTCCTTTGACCTACTCCATGTGTGAAAATCCCCTCTTCTCGACTCCTTCGCTAACATCACTCACATGTTGTAGTTTATTACTGAAAAACTCTGGTGATTTCCTGATCCATCGCCTTGCCTTCCAAAAGCCTGTCTCTGCCCTCAGTGTCTCTTTTACTCTAGGACTGGAAGCCTCTGGGGCCCATCTTAGGCAACTCTGTGTTCCCAGAACGTATGACAGGGCTCGGCGGTCACTCTGGGCTGCCTTCTCTGGTGTATTTTGCTGCACATTTCTTTCTCCAGTTAGGTCTTTGTGTGTCTACACCCCATCTAGACTTTGTTCACCTTCTTAAAAGGGTATGACAGCCGGGCTCGGAGGCTCAGCCTGTAATCCCGCGCCTCTGGGAGGCTGAGGTGAGTGGATTGCCTGAGCCCGCCGGTTCGAGACCCACCTGGGCAACTTGGCGAGACCTCATCTCTACAATAAAAAAAAAAATCAGCCGGGCGTGGTAGCGCGCGCCCGTAGTTCCAGCTACTTGGAGGGCTGAGGCGGAAGGATCGCCGGAGCCCAGCAAGTCGAAGCTGCGGTGGCTGGGAGCTGCCACTGCACTCCAGTCTGGGCGACCGAGTGAGAATCCAACTCAAAAAAAAAGGCAATTATAGAGCACTTAGAAGTTTTCAATAATGGGAATGCCACTTAGCAAATATTGTGGAGCATAGCCAAAATCATAATCAAAGGCAAACTGACCTAAGATAAAGCTGAAAAACAACAAATCAGTAATAATGGAAAAATGTAAAAGTTATTAAGGAATTGTTTCCCAAAAAAGCTTTTAGTTCAAGTTACTTACATTATCAAGTTAATCAAGTTCTCTCTGGGGTGGAAGCCACTGATAACTCCCAGACTATGTGAAGTGTTCAAGTAAACAAAAGTAGAAAACTGGCACAATACCCCTGACTTTAAAAAAAAAAAAGCCTGGCTCGGTGGCTCAGCCTGTAATCCCACGCCTTTGGGAGGCTGAGGTGAGTGGATTGCCTGAGCCCGCGGGTTCGAGACCAGCCTGGGCAGCGAGACCTCATCTC